GATGTCTAACAATATATGGAATTGATATTAAATAAGAAATACCAAAGAAAAAAAAAATAAAATGAAAAAACATATGTTTCACATTTTATCATATTTCAAAGTTCAAACACACCTATCTTTTATGTGTTTCAATAAATTATGTGATATTTTATGTTTCATAAAAATAGAGTAAAAATGATCAATCATCAGAATTAGTATTATTTTTTAACTATATATTATAACTACCAATATCTCACCAAAAAAATTTTTTTTTTTATTATAGGTGACGTCATCAAATGTTTTATTTAATTAAATGGATTCGTTTCAAGTTTAATCGGTTCACTTTCGATACTCGATTCTCTCTCATTAGTACTACTTATGTGTTACTCATTGATATTTCTTGTTCCTCGTTTGACAAGACACACATACACATTCAATTAAATCATTTCAAGTTTAATCGAGTTTACTAGTTTTTTCTTTTATTTTTTTTTCACTAAAAGTATTTTCCATTATTTTTTTTATAGGTTAGTTAGGCTAGTTAGTTCACATAATATTGACAAATAAGGTTAACTTTTATTCCACATCTTTGAAAACAAGCTAACGAACATTCTGATCTACTATCGTGAAAAAACATCCACTTTGGTCACGGATGAGAGAGGAAATCTTTTGCATAGGAAATAGATGATGTTAGGTGTTAAAATGTTCAAATAGTATAGTAACTTAGAGAGAATAAATCAAGGACGATTTTATCTTACTAAGAATCATACGATTCGCGAATGATTTAACGCATCTTTGAACGGTTCAATAAGTTTAACAATACCAGTTAAATATATTTTTATACATCATTTAAGTTATAGTTTGTATATTATGCAACAGGAAATAAATGACGTCAATCATCATGCCACCCCTCCTCTCCCAAATCTTCCCTCAAAATTTTAATAAACAAATGGTATTGAAATACTTATCAAATTATTAAACGTGTTCACATTTTACTAATATTTTACATACAAAGTATAATTATTTTCTATTACAACCATAATTTAGATTCTAATGGATTATAAATATAATTATTTTTATTTGTTTTATTTGTTAATTCGAAGAATAATAATTATTATTTTTTTCTATGTTATCAGACAAATTTTTATGATTAATCGAATCAAGTTTTTATTGAATGAATTTTTTAAAAATAATGTGTGTTGATTTTATTATAAAATAAATTTCAAATTAATTCTGATAAAATGCATGAAAATTAATATTAATAATAATAATAATAGTAATAATAGTATTAATTAGCAACAATATATTGTAAAAATGAAACGTTTTATCATACACTTTAGTCTTACTTCTACCTTCTAATCAAATTTATTGTTAGTAAAAAAAAAAAAAGAAAAATACTATCAAGAATAAAATAAATAGGAGAAAGTTTTTCAAGAGATCAAGTTTAAATAAATCTTTTCTATTTTTTCCCCCAACAGTAACAGCAACAGCAGCAGCAAGCAGTAGCAGTAACAGAATAACAGTAATATCAAGAGTATCCTTCACGTACCAACAATCTTATAGTTAGTTAGTTACTTTTTCTCTGTAATACATATATATGTATATACAGTTTATCCCAGAGTTGAACGTGGAAATTACTCGTCAAGAGTCACGGTCAAATGTTAACGAACTAGTTTATAAAACAAAATGTTAAAAATCACGTGACACGTTTTTACCATAAAAAGGTAAATGAGAGAAATAAATATAGAAAGAAAGAGAGAGAAAGAAAGATAACAGTGAAACATTGATATAAAAAAATGACATCTTAGGTTCAACCAGAGACACAGAACGCACACATCGAAAATATGTGTTGGGTTAATTGGATAAAATCGTACATGTTGCGTCTGGAATAATATCAAGATTAAAGACTTGATCCAGTTAGACCTGGATCTTTTACCCTTTTCCCCCATTTTTTTCTTTTCTTTCTTATTGGATCTCTCTTCCTCCCTTTCTTCATTCTTTGTGGTTCTCTATCCATTCTTTTTCGTAGAATCGATTTCTCTGGCACCCATGATACGCGAGATTGATTAGTTGATTGCATCAAAAGAGTGAAGAATAAAAATAACAAAAAAAGTACTAGTACCACACCTGGAAATCCAACCAGATGACAAAACTGGAAAAAGGTATTTCTTGATTTACCGACAGTCGATGCACTTTCACGACTAATTGTTTTAGAATTCAACCAATAGGAATTGCCCAAGAGATACAACAGTTTAACTTTTTTAGAACTTTACAAGGAATTTGTCTCGTCTTTCTGGCTTTCACAGAATGGCGCCGTTTATCTTATTATCTTATACACACAATCTTCTATCTTTCTTTTTTTTATTTCAATATATGATAATCAAACGACATTTTTCATAGGAAAACCTTTTTGATTCGTCTTTATTCATAAAGGATCATTATAAATATGTTGAATGTAATTTATGAGGAAACACATAACCTATGAATTGTTTTTATTTGATTCATTTGAACGTACTGAAACTATTTCTTAGGTTATGTATTCTAACATAATTAAAAACATTGTATAAATGTTTGAGAATGTTAAAATTCACATGGTGAAATGTGTCAACAGATATTAAATACATGAATTCATTTTTAAACATTAATATTTTGAAAATACATTAAATGAGGCTCACCATGTGAATTTTAACATTATCTAATTTTAATCTTTTAATTAAATGATATTTTTATAGAAAAGAACATTTAGATACTATACAAAGCAAAACACATAAAACTAAATCGTAATAGTAAGTGATCCTATCTGTAATACGATCATTTTACCTGAAATTTACAGTTAACAGTTTCCCCCCAGCCCATAAGCCTTGAGATTAGATAACGACAATAGGTGTCAGATCTTTTTAGTGACCCCGAAACTTCTAGCCGATCGTAAATTAGGATTAAAATGCCAGAAAGTATACTCGTCCAAGAAGAAATGGGTCTTCTCTTCCGTATGCCAGAATGGTTCAGATTTAACTCTCGTATAATAAAACAAAAAAAAAAAGAAAAAGAAGAAAAGGGACAGAAATAGAAGATACAGTTGACAAGGATTGAGTGTACATAACCTAAAAACCATTATACTCACGTGTGTATATGTGTGTGTGTATATATATATATATACACCTACGCAAAATGAGTGTAATTTGTGGGTGGTTTCGATCAGTCCACTGTTGTCGTTTAAATAATCAAAAAAAGAAATAAAAAACGTTCTTCTTTATCGTTGCTACGAATAATCGTAAATGTCAAGACCCTCTTCTATCTTTTTATAGATTTTTTTGGGGGTATTTTATTTTTCTTTTATGTTAGTCATATTAGGTTAACCGATAGGTAAACTCTATACGATTTTTTATACTATTTTATATTTCAATGATAATTTGATAGGTTAAAATAAAAATGTCACACAGTAATGAAAAATATTTAAGTGTTAGGTTAACAAAATTCTTGATTTATTATTTTTTTGTATTAATGTTAGAATAATAAAATAAATAAAAAGAATAATAATTATTATTTATTAAATTATAAGATAAAAAATAAGAAACTAAATTTCGATGTTATTCGATGACCAACCAACCAATCAACCAACCGACCAATCAAATGCATTCTCATGTTAACCCTTTTTATTTTTTGTTCTTCTTCTTTTTCTTTTCGTCATTTAATATCCAATCGAACAGACAAGTTTTAGAAAAAGAATGGAATGGGAGATAAGAAGCAATCCCAAGTCGAAAAGGCTTAACATGCTTTCTTTTCATTTTTTTTTTTCACCCTATCGAACTTTATCTGGCTTCTAAGAAATCCGTCAGCGAGGTCCCGAAAGGTCCCCAAGCTCATTTTTAATATTAATGGGATGATCGATCTAACAGAGTTAAAAAAAAAAGAAAGAAAAGAAGAAAAAAAAGAAAGAAGAAAAGAGAAAGAAAGATAAAGGAGTAAAGAATAAAAAGAACGACATGCATATTTCATTGGCAAAAGGGTTTGCGATAGACAGTCATAGGACTTCATAATGCCGTAGTAGATTAAGCCGGTCGATTAAGGTTGCTTAAAGGTCTGGGCGATTGATGACGCCTTATGAAGTTAAATTGAACAAAAATTTCTTATGAGGAATGAAATATTACACTGAATGATTACTTTTCGTAAATTAGTTACATTGGTAACGCCTATCGATACAAAATGATTTTTATACTACACCATTTTTTTATGCTTTGAATTTTGATCGTTTGAGGTTAAGTTTGATTCAAAATCAATTTAATACATTAATTTGAATTTCGCTCATTTGAAGTTAAGTTTAATATAAAATCAATTTAATAAACTAATTTGAATTTCAATCGTTTGAGGTTAGATTTGATGTAAAACTAATTTAATACCACAACATATTTTCAATAAATTTTAGATAAATTTTTAATATTAATTCTGGTATTCATAATTGTTTCAAGGTTATATAAATACTTTAGGAAAGTTATGTGGTTGGAATTATCTTAATAACGGTAAAGATAATGGGGTTAATTGATGTTAGTGTCCCATCTATTATCGTCTTATCTCTAACGGAAGCATTAACCTATACTACCTTATACCGTGCAAGTATTTAATTATATAACCTCAATTACATTTTAAAAATAGAAATAGTTTATATTTTGAAGCAGCTTATATAAAAATAATTCAAAATTTATAGATCGACGTATCAACAATAAAATAATTACCAATTTATTTTTCATTACAGATATGAGAAAAGTATAAAATTTTAATCTATATAAAAAATTTAATTCATCTTTCATGTTATATTATATCATATTATCTTATGTTATATTATGTATATAATTTTTAGATATTATTATAAAGAAATTTGATTGCAATTGTAGAATTTTATTATATTTTGTGTAAATATCGATAAAAAACTATAAATAATAACAAATTAATATAACATTATAATCCAACGTCAAATAAGAATTTTGTCTAAAACCTTCCACATGTCAGGATGGCCGAGCGGTCTAAGGCGCCAGACTCAAGGTTCGTACCTTGCTCGCCAAGCGAGTTCAGTTGAGGCTTCTGGTCCTCTCTGAGGGCGTGGGTTCGAATCCCACTTCTGACAAATATTTTTTTTTCTTTTTTATTTATCATTTTTTTACAATATTAACAATTATTATATTATCATACTCCTAAACATTTAAACGTAGTTACAATTTGAACGTGAACGTCGTGAGATCAAATCCTGCTGGGGAAGAAATGTTTTTTTTTCCTCTCAATGTTAAATAAATCGTTTCTGAAATGAATAATCAATAAGTTAAGAAATGATTGATTAATTTAATAAAAATATATATAATGAAAATATATATAATAAAAATATATATAATAAAAATATATATAATACAAAAATATATAATACAAAAATATATAATACAAAAATATATAATACAAAAATATATAATACAAAAATATATAATGAAAATATATATAAAAAAACAATAATATATTTTAATATATTTTAATATATAAATATTATATAATATATATAATTAGAAAAAGAAAACTTGAGAAAGAGTATACGCGGAAAAACGTTGGTTATACAGTAATGCAATTTTCTGTGAACTATTCCAAGAAGTTATATGTCGAAACATTGACTTACGATTTGGCAGTAGTACCTTTATCTCGCCTTAGACGACTAACGAGCAGCAATGAGTTTAACAGTGATTGATGCAAGATCGACGTTTCTGAAAAGAGCAGCAGCAACAGCAGCAAGCAAACGTTGTTGTTGGTCGATCCAACGAGACTTGTGCTATGCTAGTGTTTTTAGATACCTTTAGCGTAACCCAATGGCATTTGCCTTTCTCTTAGAATTTCTATACTACAGCTGCGGTAATTAGATGGACAGCGTATCATTAGTCGTTGACTTACGAACGAACCGGTGTATCTTTGCTTCTTTTTTTACTTTTTTGTTTTTTAGTTTCTCATGACACGTCGTTATTAGGTTCTTCTATCGTTTCCAGTTCACGATCTTCTCAACGTTTCTTCTTCTTTTTTTCTCTCTCAATTATATTGGTAATGTATAAACATAATTAATAGAAAATTTACGATCATCGTGAAAGAAGAAATGGTTCGGTGTGGTATTACAGGCAGACCCTCGACTTTCGCACATGTTAAAGCAATTTGCATCATGACTAAAACTAGTCTTCTTTGTTCAAACATTCACGAAATTCAACTTACGACTGACCCAGTATCACCGTTCAAATGCTCACAGATAAAAAAAACAAAGCTTCTAATGCGAATTATTTCACTTAACACGCCTCTTCAACTTCATACATATAGGATTTTGGTTTAGTGTAGAGGTGCGAGGTTACATACACTCAGTTTAATCCTACTGATAAAATATATTTAAAATAGGTATTAGAAAAATTACAATAAAGTTTCTCAATCTTATGAGAACAACCGATATACGGAACTGAACTTTTTCAACTGAATGATGACGAACAACGACTGATGACGACTGGCGACTACCCTTGACGACTCAATCCCCTTCCCTCTATATCAGTGGTTCCCAAACTTTTTTTTTTTTATTGCCCCCTTTCCAAAACAAATATTATTTATCACCCTCCTAAAAAAATTCTTTTAGTAACTCAAAAAAGAAAATAATAATAATAGATATTAATAATTTTTTTTTTTTAAAGAAATTTTCAAATGTTTTATGTATTAATTTATATATATATATATATATATATATATATATAGCATTTCAATCTAATATTAAATGTAAATTATTTAATATAGAGATTTATATGAACTTTGAAAATTATGAAACTATTCATTGCATTCAAATAGTGGGCGCTCACTGTACACTTACAGTTATTCATTGCCATACCCCCACCCCCAAAGTTCACCTATGATCGTTATCGTCCCCTGGACCACTTCATCGTCCACTTTGGGAACCACTGCTTTATATCCATCCGCACGCGGTTCTCGAATTTTCCTAACGCTTGGTCTGATGTAATAAACAAAGCATCGATGGTATCGCTCAAGAACCTTCCAAACTCACACTGAGACTCACACACACAACTTACATAACTTACAAAAACAGACTACACACTGTCTTCCTTTATTTCGACCATCGGTTTGTTTGTCCCTTATTCTTTCATCGCCTACACTCTTATCTCTGTTTATTCTTCTACACTTAAAGCTCTCCTACACACATATTGATAAATAAATACTTTAAAACACAGTTTTTGGTGCATATCTTTTTACATCCCTCCAATTTCCAACATTCAACATTCGCACACACTTTAGGAATCAATTATGTGCGAAAGTCGAAGGTCTGCTGTATTTGTTCGCACGCACTATATATATATGATAATACGAATCCGTTTCAAACTTACAAATTTTTAAAGTTGAAATTATAAGCACATTTTCTATGAAAATCTCACGACAATAAATTAATACGGTGTAAGTGATTTTGTAATAATACTAAAGACAGTTCTTTAGTTAACAAATGAATTTATTATTTAAATCTTGGTGACTATGTTAGAATTGTTTGAATGTTTGATGTGAACTGAACGAATATTCGAAAAGAAGTAAGGAATGGTTGAATGCTGAAAGAAAACTGAACTGAGGGCTTTGTCTGAACGATTTGAGAAAACTGTATACAATATTACAAGTGTACATGTGTGTGTGTGAGATAAAATATTTAAGAGCTTAATGATAGGTAGTTGTGCATGTGTTTATGAAAAGAACTGAGCTGGCAAAGGAACGAATGATGCAAGAAGGAAATGTATCGGGTTGGATGTTTATTTAGGATACCAATAACTGAAAGAAAGAAAATGTGCCCACTGTGATAGAATGTGTGTGTGTTTTAAGATAAGTAGAATCCATGAGGGTTCTCTACAGAATTAGGAATGTGTGATGTAAAGAAAAGAGAAAGAAAATGCGTACATGACGTTCTTCTAAAAGAAGAAGAGAGATGGAACTTTCATATAAAAAAGTATTAGATATTGAACATTATTTAATTCGTATCTTTTCATTAATTAAAACACTTTTTATCAATTTCTCGCGTTTTATGCAATATCGATTAATTGGAATACTTAAACATGTTACATCTTTCTAATAGAAATATCAACAACAACAAAATAAATACACCTTGCAAATTAATAAATATATGTAATATATTAATAAATAAATATTATTTAAATTTATTTCACATATTTATATCAGAAAAGAGCTATACCCCTCTGGAGAGGGAAGGAAATTATGAATCTTATCGACCAATAGTAGAAGGATCCACCCCCCCATAATCCACCGATGGATACAGCTTATGTTTTTGGTAAAGATCGTAGTGGAAACGATGTATAAAGGAACTTTGTTCTAAAATAACGAAATATCATTTCTTCTGATGGTGTCGCATGTGTTTACATAGGAATCCGAAACCACTCGAAGGACCCGACACTGTACAACGGTTTTCGTCGCGCCAATATGTTCCGATAATTCTTAAGTTTGTCTGGGAGTCTATTGCTCTCCAGAATATTCCTCTTAATTTCTGAGTGGAGTTTTCTTTCATTAAGATCGATAGCTTATATAAAACAGAAAATAAAATGTAAAGAAAGAATTAAATATAAGACTTATCGTATACAATTTAAACATGTTACATGTTTCTAATCGAAATATCAAAAAAAGAAAAGAAAAGAAAAACAAATATACACCTTACAAATTAATAAATATATTTAATATTTTATATTAATAAATAAATATTATCTAATTTATTTTATTATTTTTTATTATAAATTTATTAATATATTTAATATATATTAATATTATATTAAAATATAATAATATATTATTATATTAAATAATATATTTTTCCTTCAACACCTATCCTGGCCTTGAAGTCCCCTCCTATTATCAGTAATTCATATTAAATAATATATTTATATAATATATAATATTTAAATGTTATATATTTTAACTATTAATATTAAATTATATAAAACAAAACAATAATATTTAATCCATATATAAATAATAAAAAAAGAACAAAATATTCAATAAACAATATATAATCCTATCTAAATATCGAAACTTTCTCTTCGAGTTAGAAAAAGTAAGAATCAATTAAATGAAAAGAAAAAAGAAACAAAGAAACAAAAAGTTCTAGTTAGCATAAAATAGAAGTCTCGTGAGATCTGATCTATCGATGGATCAATCGATTCATCGATCGATCGATCGAGTTATAGTGAAAATTCTAGGATTAAATGATACTCAGAAAATTAGAGATGCTGTTGCTTTCATAACAAGCCGTTGAAATGAATATTCAAACACTCTAGTCTCTCTTGGTTAAGAATGTACTATCGCAAAATCGCCTACACGATATTATTCCCCATTGCAAATCCCCTTTTGAAAAGATTTTCTACTGGAACGTGCCTCGAAGCTTATTCTCTCTATTTCTTCATTTATTTGTTTCTTTTCTTCTTCCTAGAATTCTTTCTTTTTCTATTCATCTCACACTCACTCAGCTGCTGCTGCTGCTGTTGCTGTTTGACTGTGCAGTTTCTATTGCTGTTTGTGAGTGTTGCTGTTGCAGTTGCAGTTGTTGCTTTTAACATTCACATTCATATTCAACCAAACCCTATTTCTCTTACTCGTATTTCCTTCCACAGACGAAAAGAATTTGAAAGACTTGTGAAGGTCTGTTGGTTAGGTTGCTTGGTTTGTTGGGTTGGGTTGGGTTGAGTTTATCGTTCAGTATCATTACAACGCTATTAGGATGATATTCATATCCGTTGATCTTATTTACTCAAGAATATTCCACAACGAATCTTTATTAAGTTTTATTTCAAATACGATACAGTTAACACATTTAATACAGAAGGAAGAATATTTGTTTATTTTTTTTTTATGTAGCAAAGAAGGCTGATTTTTTTTTATTTAGTTTCTTCTTTTAAAAAAGGAATCGTTCATTTGATTTCTTAACAATTTTATTTAGAATTTTTTGTGCACTTTGATTTGTCAAATAATTTTGTTTGTGTTTTATTTATCATCGAATCTTTTAAATGGAAAATTGTTATATCTCACAAATATTTGATATTTTAACAAAATTGAAAAAACAATTTTTATGTAACATTTGTTACAACATATTTATAAGATACAAAATGTTATATATAGATATTGGAAACATATTATTTTTAGTATTTGCTAGAATTAATTTATATTATTTTTATATTAATATTTTTACAAAAAACATATTTATATTTATATAAACATATTTAACTAAATTTAATTAATAAAATAAATTATTTCAAATCCTAATCAATTAATTTGAAATAAGAATGAATAATATTTTCTTTTTATTTATCGCAATAAAAATTATAGAAATAATATATTCTGAATAAACCAACCAACAAAATGTTTTAAATTTTAATTTACATAAAAATATACGTTGTGTATTACCATCGTATATTGAAAACCATACGAAACATTTGCAAATATGCAAAAACATTATAATTACACCTAAGAGTATACATTTTTGCATAATAATTCATTTTCTATAATTATAATAATAATAAATCATAACTTTAATCATTTCCAGTGACTTTACAACGATCTAAAAAGTAAACCTTGCTTTTTTCTTATTTTTCTTCTAAGTTCTTTTTGTTTATAAAATTTTTATTCAAGAGAAACGATTATATCAATTAGAAATTCTAATAACTTAAAGAAATTATTCGTAAAAAAATGATTTTACGATCGTGCAAATGTCCTCTAACTACTTCATGCAAATTCATAATATTCTAGTTTACAAAAAGATTATGAGAAGATGACACAAAAAAAGTATTATATTATTATTATTATTATTATTATTATTATTATGCGTGTGTCGAAACGTATAACTACTTGTTAGTATATTTCTACAAAACGTTCGCATTTCTCATCCTAGTTATTTACTCGGAACTATAACTATTAATCGTATTTTCTATTAAATGGTAAGTAAGAGAGAAGAAACTTTAATAGAATAAGAAACTTACTAGTGACTAACATAAATATGTCCTAAGTCATGGTTTATCACTCAACGACGAAGATGAGAACGACGACGACAACGTATTATTATTATTATTATTATTATCTAGATAAACGTTAGACTAATGATGAAAATGATTGAAAAATAATATTCTTTTTTTTTTTAAACGATGCTTTTAAAAGTATCCTCACTTAATCGAGACAGAAAGAAAATGTTTAATATATATTTTTTTTGAATATTTTTATTTCGTAGAAAAAAAAATTGAGTTGACGATAAAATAGATCGTTTTCTTATTAATTTATTTTATTTGTTTAAAAGTGAGATTGTTTAAAATTGTTTTTTTTAAATTAATTATTTAGTACTTATAACAAAGTCTTGCGATTTTTGTCTTGTGATTTTGAATAATTAAATTAATTATTTATTATTATATAATATAAATTATTTTTATATTATATATCATATATTAAATTATTATATAATAAATAATTAATATTTAATTATTATTAATAATTATTATTAATTTATTTATTAAAATATAAATTGGGCGAATTATTGTATTGAAAGTAAAATATAATTTAATTAATTTAATATTTCAAATATTACACATTACATAATATAATTTAATATTATAAATATTAATATAATTATATCAAATATTTTTGCGTGTGTGTAATTTTTTAAGTTTTTTTCTTTAAGATTGTGTTAAGGTTGCTTTATGGATTTTTTTTATCAGGATCTCATTGCTCGTTTTATTTAAAGAAAAAAAAATTCAATTCGTTGAAATGCATTTAAAGAATTAGACACTCGTCATTGATGATTTAAATGATTTCTTCCCGGAAACATATTTATCCGAAGATGAAAAGGATTATAAGAAATAGATAAAAGTAGAGCAACACCTCGGACATATATAGAAAATGTGAGGCAAGTTGTCCTGAGGGGGAAAAAGAAAAAAAAAAAGCAAAAGATCAAAGTTTTGCTTGGATCGACTTTCACGGTCGCGCGTATACTTTGCTCCATAACGCGTTGCAAATCGCGACAAATGGAACGAAGAGGAACGTCTTAAGAAAAAAAGAAAAAAAAACAAAGAAATAAAGAAATAGATAGATAGATAGATAGATAGATAGATAGATAGATAGATAGATAGATAGATAGATAGATAGATAGATAGATAAATAGATAGATAGATATATAGATAGAAATATTTCCTACTCTTAAGAAATTGCCGCTAATACAACGAAAAATCTTTTTTTTTTCGAATATTATATATAATTTATTTATATTTTATTTATGAATTAAATTATTTATAAATTAAATTAAATATATTTATAAATTAAATTATATATAATATTTTTATTTAATTTAATTTTAATTTAATTTTAATTTAATTTTAATTAAATTTTAATTTAATTTTAATTTAATTTAATTTAATTATATTTTTCTTGATCAAATTTAATTTCCAAATCTAATTTATTTTTGCAATACTCTTCAAATAATTTATTTTATATTTTTCTAAATTATAAAACCTACCATATCTAATTCTTTATCTATTTTTGTATCTCTTTTCTAACACCGTTAATACCACGAAGATATTATACATCGTCTATAATAACCGATAAGTACTTTAACAATTGTATCTTATTTATATTTATTATTTTCTGTAATCAATCTTCTATACTTTCTTTTATACCGCTAATACCACGAAAATTCTTTCATCACTAACCGAAACCTTTTTCTTTCTATCTATTTTTTTTTTTGAAAACATTATCTTTTCTTCCTCACTATCGATTTATCATTCTTTTCTTCCCCCACTCTTGTATATTTCAATCGTTATACCGCTAATACCGCGAAAATACTTCGTTACAATCCTATAGGGTGTCTAACCTTTTTTCTTTTCTTTTTATTTCTTTTTTTATATTTTTTCTTGTTTCCTTTTTCTTTGACTCGATCATTCCGATATCTTTTACTTTTTATTTTGTTAGTGTCTTCTTCAAACGGAAAGATCTGAGCAAGATCGCGTTATACCACCTACCGGTTATGTTGGCTTGATCCTCAGCAAAACACGTGAACGTTTCAGCATATATCTATCTGTCCCTAAGTTAGTTTCTTTAATCCTTAAACACGCTTGTGTGGTTCAGGCTCAACTCACCATCACTTCGATCTCACATAAGTCCGTTATTTCCTTTTGCTGATCTACGTTTTCTTCTTCTTCTTCTTCTTCTTCTACTTCTTCTTCTTCTTCTTCTTCTTCTCATTTCTTTTTCTTTTTTTAAACGAACGGTGTGATCTTATCCGACACGTTTGATCAAGTATATTGAACTAATATATAAAACGTTATATATTCAATATATATATATAATTATATTAAATATTAGTATATTATTATAATATTATTGGCAAAAATACTATTATTGTATTAGTATTTATATATAATAAATAATATTATATTATATATAATATTAATTTATAAATAATATAAATTTATTTTTATTTATTTAATTTATTAATTTTATTAAATTTGATAATATTTAAACATTCAGGTATTCATTTCGTGATCGAACATTTTGTTACTCGAAAAATAAGTTAAGAATTTTAATTATTTCCTAATTAATTAATTTAAAWAATTCGAATAAAATTTTCTTTTTTCCAACAAAAGTTCAACAACGATTTGTAATTTAATACGAGAGAGATGGATAGAGAGAGAAAAAAGAAAAATTTTAAATGATAATTATCTTTAATTCTTAAGTAAATTTTCGAATAGTTCAAAGAATATTACGCGTATACAACTTGATCGTAAAATGACTAAGAATTCATAATGAACCTTCTCTCTTATATTCTCGTACTTCCGCATTTAACAAAGATGGCTGACCAACGATTTTACTTATAGAAATCCTTAGAATACGATTTGCTTCACGCTATCTCAAGTAAAATCCCAAAGAGGAGTCGTCATTTCGATTTTAACTTTGTATTTGCGACGTATGATAAAATATATACAAGCTGTTTCAAAAAATATTATCATATTTTATCATTTTTATAAAAGTTTTGAAGTTAGTTTCAAAAAAATATATTTGTAAAAAAGAATTGGAATAAATAAAATAAGTAATCGAATTATTTAACAAAGAAATAATTGTATATACTAAAATATATTTGTAATTTAACCAAATGTCAAATTTTTGCAATTAAATTCGTGAATATTTGATACGTCCGATATATAAAAAAAAAAAATTAATATATTTAATATATATTAACTTAAATATTATAATATTAAATTATATATAATATTATATATATTTATTATTTATTTTGTTCATTAACAATGTTATATTGTTATTAGTTATTTTTTTATATATAATATATTAAATATATATATAAATATATATGTATATTTAACCAATAAAAAAATTAATAATAAAAGAAAAAGAATGTATAAATTTATTATAATAAATTAGCAAAAGTGGGGATGACGATGATGATACGTTCCAAAGATAAACGATTTTTCATATAAAAATAATAAAAGAGAAATCACAAATGGACCCGCTGCTGTGCGGAATATAACCAACCAACCAACCAACAACTGCATGATCCTTTATTACAAACGATGCGCCTATCAGTATAAATACATTCTCGCGTTCCTACGATCGCTTAAAACGATCGTAAAATGGCCGGAAGAAAAGTTCGTTTATGGTCTCGTGTGGCGTGTAACACACCAACAACTACTCATACTAACTACTATACTTTCTTAAGCTTTTCCAACTGTGTGTATATGTGCATATACACATGAAAGATGGAAGTACGATAAAAAAGAAATTCTGCTGCTTATCCTATTTAGTTTATGCTGTCATTCTTAGCAATACGATTACTTTACCAAGAGAAGTTTCAACTTGACATCAATGCCAAATGAACGTAACACACATTTTGCTATACACACTAATGCATAGTTGTTCACACACAATGTGTAACCAAGTAACGAACTTGTTTCTTGTAGAAAATAATCAAAGAAACGAAAAGAGAGTGTGAGTGAATGAGTGAGTGAAAAGAGAAGATATTTGTCTCTCATTTTGAAACGTTTCTATAAATAAAGTAGGCTAATAAGAGGTTTAGTACCTATACGATATATTATCTCTCTTTAGGTAATACTTAATTTTATCTTCTTTCAGTATATTATCTTGTAACAAGATTAGACACCTAATTACATCGACTAGTTTACAATTTTTTCTTTTTTATCTTATCTTTTAAATGTTTGGTCAATAAAAGGAAAGACCCAAAAAAAAAAAAAAGGTATGATAATGATTATTATTGTCTCGTTAGTTTGTAAACTTGTTGGGTTATTTAAGTAACTTATACCTCCCCACCCTTCTTCTCAACACAATTAAATTGTTTGAAAAATTTCTTTCTATCAAAAGTCAAGATTTTCATCGCATCTCAACGTTCACGTTCATGCGTTTTATTTTATATTGAAACATAATCCTTTTTTTTTACAAATGGCTTCGTTTTGTGCGTGAAATTTTTTAGGGGGTTAAAAGATAAAGAATAAAGAAGAAGGGTTTTATAAAACGTTGAAGATTTACTCACAAGCGTATCTTGCCGTGCGACGTCTGCCCCATGCTTGAGGAGTAGCTCAACCACCTCCAAGTGGCCTTCGGCAGCTGCCCTTTGTAGAGGAGTCACGCCGCCCTGGAACAACCGAAAGAACATGAAAAATAAAAACAAAGAAAAAAAGAAATGATTAACGGCTCGTTCCACGCTACACTCTTCTTTCTCATTCTTATTCTTATATTCTTGGTATTTTTTATTTTATTTTTTTTAATTTTCTTTTCAAAACTTTCTTTCTTCTTCTTCTTCTTCTTGGTTTTACGCGTCAATTTGAGCCTAACAACAACAACGGCTTTATCTTTGTATCTATTTTTTTACTATTTTTTATTTTTTTTTTAAATAAACGAGTCATAAAAAATAACCCCATCTCACCCCCAATGCTGATCGTTATGCTTTTTTCTTATTTCTATCTTCGATAATAATTTATGACACGTTATTGAGAAATCTGTGCTTTTCGTTTTTCAAATTTCGCGCCACTTTTATTTTTTTATAGGTTAAGTCATTAATTTATTGTTTTTTTATCTTTTTTTTGTTAAGCGAGTACTAAAAAGTAACCCCCACCCCACTACCAATGCTGATCGTTATGCTTTTTTCTTATTTCTATCTTCGATAATAATTTATGACACGTTATTGAGAAATCTTTGCTTTTCTTTTTTCAAATTTCACGCCATTTTTATTTTTTTATAGGTTAAGTCATTAACACACTCTATAAATGGTATTCTTATTTTTTTTCGATCAATATCCATACTTCATCTTTTATTACCATCATTAGTATCTCGACAGGAGATCATTATTATAGCTATTATTATTATTATTATTATTATTATTATTATTATTATTATTATTGTTATTATTATTATTATTATTATTATTATTATTATTNTTATTATTATTATTGTTATTATTATTATTATTATTATTATTATTATTATTATTATTATTATTATTATTATTATTATTATTATTATTATTATTATTATTACTTCTCGAAATTATTTTCAGAAAAATTTCACACTTCATACCTAAACTCCTTTTTCCTATTTCTCATAACCCTTCTTTCTTCCCCTACGTTTCCCCCATTTTAGTTTGGTATATGTTTACTCACTAATTAGAAGACTCTTTTGTTTTTCAAATTCTCACCAACTCTCTACATTTTTTAAAATATTTTTCTCAAGATTTCATAAGAAACATATTTGAACATTTAACAAACTATTGGGTTGGCAACTAAGTGATCGCGAAATTTGTCGATAGATGGCTTTTTAAAATCAACAATAACTTAGTTGCCAACCCAATATAATTACACGCTCAAATATTATATCATTAACCACTTTTTTTTAATCGTACACTATAAAAATGAAAAACCTAATATTGGGATCTCTAGCACTTGAATACGCTTCCTGGTGGCTAAATTTAAAATTAGAGTAGATAGGTCGAATTGCTACGCCACGCCCCTGCCAAAGATCCCAAACATTAATGAACAAAACAAAAACCTAATATACATTAATGAACAAAACAAAAACCTAATGCACATTAATGAACAAAACAAAAACCTAATGTACATTTAATAATAAATTAACATTTAATAAATCAAAACACCTAATATACATTTATTAATAAACAGAAACCTAATATACATTAATATACATTTGTAAAAGTAAAAATTCTTGAAATATTTATTACATTATAAGAAAAATTTATATCACGTTTTGAGGTTAGTCTTGAACTTAGCACGTAAAAGTGTTAAATGATTCTCACACGCTTTTATGAAACGTAAAAAAAAAAAACAAAAAAAGAATGAAAGAAAAAAAAAGAAAACTTTAGAAAGAGAAAGAAAGATAGGAATACACATCGCGTGTTGAAACGCAGATTTTTATCATTCGTTAAAGGTTCTAAACGTTTTCTCGGTTTATCGGCCGATCAAATCACTTGATTAAGTTATCTTCCTCTCTCTCTTACTCTCTCTTTCACTCTCTCTCATTTTCTTTCTTTTTTCCTTTCTTTCTTTTTCTTTATTTTTCTTTCCATCTCTCATAAGTGATGTGTGTAAGTACGTAGTCGGTTGGTTTCTTACAAGTTACAAGCTAGAGAGAGAAAGATGATTAAAGTAAGATGGGCACATAAATTAAACTTTTATCTGATAGCAAGACACGACAGCATCCTTTAACAGATACATAACGTAAATTTACGCTTTACGATAGAATAATAAACGTCTAGTGTCAATTCTGAAATGTTTCCCCTTCCTTATCCTCCCCCCACTCCTCCACCATTCAAATGCTATCAAAGCGCAAAAATTGTATTCGTCATTATCCAACCTAACGTTGTTCAATTTTATACCCTCAAACGAAAAAAAAAAATTTATTCTATTCCTAAATACAAATTTCTATTATAATACTATTCGTGTGTGTTTGTGACCATGAAAGTAGCTATGGGTGGGGGAAAAATGTGGAATATTAATAAAAAAGAAGAATGGGTTGAATAGTGGAGTGGGGATTGGGAAGAACCAGTTACGGTTAAGACAAGTTTCAAACACGATTATTTCTTTTATCAGATTTTTTTTTTGTAAATAGCTAACTTATTTTTCACGGTCAAATAGAAAATCATTGGTAGAATGAAAAAGGAAATGGGCGTTGCCGGTTTGAATCGAATCGTGAATGGAAGAACAACGTTCGTCGTACGAGTTATTGGAATTCCGTACGTGAAATCGCACGCGCGTATGTCAAAGCTTATCCTTCTTGATACACATACGTGTATGTGTATGTGTGTGCGTGTATCGCTTGAGAAGAAGAAGAAAAAGAAGAAGAAGAAGAAGAACCCTTTGCAAACCGACAAATGATCCTAGCTCGGGAATATCGCCTAGGTGCATTTATACTTGCAAAAGTTACACACGTACACCCAACCCACCCACACTAGGAATACACTTACTCTCTGTTTTACTCACTCACACTAACACCAGTCAAATGTTTTGTACTATTTCTCTTTCGCAGTCATAACTACGTGTTATAGGAACGAACGAGAGAAGACATGTCTGGATCCTGGCAATAATTCCAGAGTGGCGAACACTCGACGCATCTTCCATAAATCATGAAGCCACTCGTCCGGCAAGATGAGCGAGCACCAACCAACCCAACCAATCCAGCGAACCAACTCAACCAACCCGAGAGAGAACATTTGCGATGTGTACGACGACTTCAACTCTTGGGAGGTTCGAATCGTTCAAACGAATTTTATTTAAGGACGAGACGACGACGATGATAACGATGATGATAATGATGATGATGATACCAGTTCAAGTACATTTTCTGAATCCAAATTCTATCTGATTATCAGGTATCATTTCTATACGAAATTAATGTCGTTGTTCTGTATGTCATGTCTTTGATTTCTAATAAATTTGATCAAATTTTTGGTGGGTTTTACAATTTTAGGGTTATATCAGATTTACATCTTTGACAACCATGATATTTAGTGAACAATATTTTATCACAATACAAAACTCAGTTTGTTATTTATCCTATTCTTTTACTATAACCCGTGATTCATATTAGAAAATTGATAAAAATTATCGCGATAATTAATGTGTGTTAATTGTGAAAAAAAAATAATAATCAAAATCTCAACGCAATCACAATGCACGTGTATTACGCGTTGAGCGTGCATCCAAGTAATATGTTGTAATTATGACGCAAAAGGGGTTAACGTTACCTCATGTAATTGCGTTTTCACAATGTTGCCTAACATCGTCACCCACAAGTTTTTTTTTTTTATTAGAGTGGAAAAGAAAAAGTATGAAAAAGACTGGGGTGAGAGAGAGAGAGAGAGAGAGAGAGAAAGAGAAAGAGAAAGAGAGAGAGATAGGTAGGCAGGTAAAGAGGAGGCGGGGTAATGAAAAAAAGAAAGAAGGACAACGGTGGTCAAATGAACGTCTCTCTAGTGCTAATAAAGAGGAGAACCCGCGTTTATAAACCCTGTTGTTCTTTTATATCCCTCCTCTCTCTTTCATATTCTCTCTATAATTACGCAAACGAATGTTTTACGGTGGAATAAGTATTAATTAACTCGGTGGGTTGGGTTGCGGTCTACCACAGACACAGCAACCGGGCGCGACCAATAAAGGAACGTTGTTGGCTTTCTACATAAAATATCAAACCTCGATAGCAACTTTATTGCGATTTACTAACGCTTCCGGTTTCATGAGATACATATATGATCATATTATTCAAAATATATAAGATAAAACAATGTAAAATCATATTTGTTCAATATGGCGACGTGTGAATTCACGCATGCCATCTGTACTTGAATTTTTTAAGTTTTACTGTATAGAATAATTAGAAAATATAGTTTTGGTTTACTGGTTAGGATTTTTTATGTTTTGGAGAAACAAAGAATATACAATTTAAAAAAGTATAATAGTTTGTTTTATCTATTAAAATAAAGTAATATTATTTATTGCAATCCTACAAAGGAATGTATAAAATTAAATATAGTTATAAACTTTATATTTTTAAAATACTTTGTAAGGTTAGATTTAAAATAATGTTGAAAATAATTTAAAATATTTTTTAATATACTTTTAAATATTTAAAAATATCAATCCCTATATAAAAATATGTAATATATAATACAAATTGTTTGATTTTCTTTTTCCAAAAGATCCCAAAATAATATTTTGCTTTGATAATTTCGCCATTGTAGTTGGCAGATCATAAAACGTTTCTAAATCCTATGTTGAACATGTAGATTCGTTTGTTAAGCGTTTGTAAGAGAATTTTACACGCTCTAATTGCAGTAAAGTGAAAATATCGAAGTATTTATTAACGGAAGGATGATCAACAATAAGAGAAGAAAAGTAAAACGAGAAAGGCGTTTTCTTCTAAACAACACAATCAACTCTTAGGTTAGAAATTCTTTTCTTCATATTCATCATTATCTTTCTTATTTCGAATACACAAAGAGAAGCAGGTATTTAAGTATACGGCGAGCAAAAAAACAAAAGATTTCACGCGACTACAAAGCAAAAAGAAAAAAAAAAGGAAACAAAAAAAAACATTGCGAACTGGATCGTTTAATGTTTCTCCTTT